CCTTCATGTGCCCCGGCATCAGCCATTACTCTACCTGTAGAGACTAAGTAGATCAGCTTGCTGGTTTAGATCAGTGGTGAGCGACCCAGCTTGCCAGTATCCACTCCAACCACCCAAGCACATCCACGGTCAATGCCAGTATCCACTCCAGACAGCCAAGCACATCCACTGACAATGCCAGTATCCTCTCTGGGCAGCCATACCTGACCAGTTCAACAGCTTAGCATTATCGGACTATAGACCCTTTGGCTTTGCACAAAGTCAATAAGCGAGAGGGGTCGAGACGGGGCATGCTGTGCACGCGCTGCACACTTGGCATGCAACCAGCATGCATGGTTTGCTGCAGGACGTGATCAAGTTTCCTGTGACGTGGTGACAGGCTGTGTTTTCACGGTCCTGACGCGATGTTCATGTATGTACTTCCCAGCCTTTTTCATTTGCAGTTTTTTTAGTTCTGAAGGAAGAAGTTCCGAAATGCTTTCCAAGGACCACTGTTGGGTTCTTGTTTGCAGCAACCGTCATCCCTAGTGGCTAGTCTAAGAAAACCACTTGTCTTTCCATGCATTCCCTGGCTATGCTGGCATTCCACACTCTTGAATCCTCGCTTTCTGGCGAGAAGAGGGCCGCAGTTTGCTGCGACATCGTTCACAGTGTTGTGCTCGGAACACTTTGTCGATGACGACTTTCATCCTTGCTTTTGCGAAGACGCTGAACGCCCTGCCAAGAGACTCTGGAGCCTGAGAAAAAGGCATGACCCATCCCTGTCTTTGCGGGGAAGATCGACTGCTTGCTGGCGCTGCTCGAGCTGCTGATGTTGAAGTGCAGAGCGACGCAGCCTCATCGCTCAGGTGTGCGGAGAAAGTCATCTGAGTTCGAGCTGTGGCTGTGTGCACGATATGACAGACTTTCACATTATGCACATAGCCACCAAAGTAAAACTCATGGACACTATCCACGGGCTTCTTCACTAGTACTACTCCATCAGCTCCCAAGACCTCTTCACTGTCGTCGGCGACTTGCCCCTGCGTTGGAGATGAGCACGCATGGTGTGGCACTCACTCTGGGAAACAGAAGTTCATCACTCATCCACTCGGACGCATGACAAAGTTGGGCAAGATGAAGGTACACTCGAGGAAGACTGGTGCCCCTCTTAGTTCTAGGAGCATCAGGGTTCTGCATAGAGAAGCGTTCTCTACATCGACAGAGGAGAGAAGGTAGAGAAAATAAAAATAAATTTCAATCTACAGTAATCCGAAATATCCACTGACTGCGGAAAACTTACCGCTCCAATAACTCCTTCTTTTTCAAGACAGATACGCACCCTCATTCAGCAGAAAACTGTTCAGTTCCTTCACAGACCATTCTTTGTTTGACAGCTCCTCCACGGGTTCCACAGCCATCGATTGCAAACCACTCGACACTCTCTCCTCCATCTCCAAAATGGAAAAATACAGTGTTTCACCATGCTCAACAACTGATACTCTGCACAAAAATCGAAGAGGATGCCCCGTCTCGGATCACGTGACCGTTATTGTGCAAAGGGTCCAGAATCTTACACGACCGTAGTGAGCCCCGTGTAACATGCACACACGTTACTTGCAACAATGATAGATGCACTGGGCAGGATGAGGCGGTGGTGGTGAGTCCAATGTCCGTCGAGTTTGTCAAGGTGGATAGTTCACGGCACACTGCGGCAGCGGTCCAGATAACGACAGTGTCGGTTGTGCTGGTGCAGTGTTTCCTGCTCACATGCCGCCCACACCACCACACGATTGTCCCTGGTCTTGTCGGTGTGCAGCAGCTCTAGTTGACTTATGACATACTGATCGGAGCACAGTGCAAGTCTGTGCTGACTGCCAAGAGCGGAGACATTCACGTCACGATGTAGTGAGCAGGACAGCTGTCCCAGGAATGGACAACCCTGTCTTAGATCACTGCTGATGATTAGAATATCCGCACAGGACCTGGCCACCCACAGAGCATTGTCAAAGGCTAAGATGGATGTGCAGGACTGTGCTAAGTAGTACAAGCTACCTTCAAGACAGAACTCACGTTGTGCTGGTGATCCAGTGGCTTCACCATCATACATCGTTCTGCTGCGTTGTTTGTCCCGCAGGGCACCACCACCATTGCTGATGATTTTATTGCATTCTTCGTCGTCGGAGTTGATCTCCTTCATCACATCCATCTTGCCCTGCAGCAATGGAGAGCTTGTGGACCGACCCGCAAAGGTGAAACTATCACGTGACATATCCACCTCTGGGGCAGACTTCCGGCCAGCTCGAGGAGACGAGTCTGAGCCGCTAAAGGTTATGACGCTTGTTTCCACTTTGCTTGTGCAGTGTGGCCTTGTGAGATGTGGTCGTACTGGAGCATCGTCACGTCCCACCATAGTGGTAGCACGGTCTCGATGACCTTCTGGCAATGACAGCTGTACTCCTGTCGTCCTGGTAGCAGACCTCTTTTTGGTTGTGACATGCTGTGGAGGACCTATCTTTCCACTGCTGTCAGGCTGCGTGAGCAGTTTGGTGTGGTACAGGAGAGGTGCATCGTTCCGACAATCCACGATTCCCAGCATGTTATGGTGTTGTGGTGAGAGAGCAAGGACAATCGGCTGCCTGCGATCCACAGCCCATACAACTGCATTGCACATCACCATCTCCACTATGCTGCACTTAGCT